TAAGACTTAGAGGAACTAAATAAGGAACTAATAACTGCATTTTAAAATTGTTTTCGCCTATTTTCATGATAAATCTGTTGTGCAGCAAACGAAGTTGTATTGTGTAAGAATTCTATTAACTTTGGAAAAAAAAATATAATATCCATTTCAGGAACATTGTCTCCCACACATAAGAATATTGTTACGTCTCTGTGTTCGTTTGTTAATTTTCCGTAGAAATTCTTTCCGAAAAACTTCAGCAATATAAGTCCTTCCTTAAATAAAACTAGTTTATTCTTTCTCAATACAACTTTGCAATACACTTAATTCCCACAGTTAGTTTAACTTAAGCAAACGCTATAATTCACAACGAACGAACGATTCACGCGCTTGACTCAATTGCCAGTCTCTATCTCTGTCTGCAATTCAATTCCATTGTTGCCGTCACTTCTTACCGGTCTTATGTATACAAAAAGCGTACATCTCGCCTCTTCGTGAATCTTCTAGAAACTCATCACGTGTTACCAGCGTCACGTGACTTCCGCTGTCGTAACAATATGTACTTCTAAATAGCTATTATAGTTTAAGCGAGAATAGAAACTATTCGAAATTTCAAATCAAAATTTTTCTTAACCACTTTGTGAAGGTCTTTGAACAAGGTAAGATTGGAAGCTTATTTGTGTGGGTTATTTTAACTAATTGCACTTTTTGTTTTAACACGTTCATATTCCATCGATCTGGTTATTTACATTTTTATTTTCAGAATTTCTTTGGTAAAATAGAGATTTAGCTTATTTTCATACAAATACGTTATAGATGTCAAACGCAAAGCTACACAGTAGACTACCTGTGCTGTGTCCACTACGGATATCGAAACCCGGTTTTTTAGCGTTATAATATTTCAGACACACTGCTGAGCCGTTGGGGAGAATAGGTCGAAGTAATTGAAAAATTCGAATCACTATGATGCTTTAATATTTGAAATAACCAACTTTTTGTTGAACGTTATTTTATTCTTGTCACATTACATCGTCTTCGATCTGAATAGAACTTTTTGCCGAAAATACAAGGTGCAAAATTTTCATCTATATGTGTTGTTTGTAATCAAACAGTATTTTATACAGAATATATTTTCCATAGTTGTAACTGATCAAAATAAGAAATGCAGTATTAAAAATTAGCCTAATGTAAAGATTGTTTCAGAATTTTTGCACAAAGCATACACAAATGGCCAACCGTGAATAGCCATCCCTAATTTTGAACTGATAGACTAGAGGGAAGGCAGCTAGTCAACAGCACCAACCGCCAACTCTGGGGTTACTTTTCTATTCGTAGTTAAATTTGACCATTATTTTTATTGCGCAACCATGGCTCAATGTGCGGAAAGTATTTTTGCGGCAATGGGTCACGAACTTTGAACCCTTGGATTCACAATCTAAGCACGCTAACCATTGGGCCACGCCCAGCTCATTTGGTTATATTGTGTTCGAAGTTGCACATTGAGCTATCTATTGTGGCGGCCCGGCTTGGCTTGGTGGTTAGGGAGCTCGACTCGCAATCTGAGGGTCGCGGGTTCGAATCCCCGTCCCACCAAACATGTTCGCCCTTTCAGCCGTTGGGGCGTTATAATGTAACGGTCAATCCCACTATTCGTTGGTAAAGAGTAGCCCAAGGGTTGGCGGTGGGTGGTGATGACTAGCTGACTTC